CTGCCGCAGCCCTTGGGCTGCGCAAATGCAGCCAGCAGTGAAGGTGCTGCTGGAGGATGCTCCGGCATCTGGCATTGCCCAGCTTCCTGCCGGTGCCTCTTAGGGTCGATGCCCTGTGCCTTCCCTGTCCCGAGACAAAGTTTGTACGAGTCCTCAGCCCTTCAGTGGGCGTCAGCCCGGCTCCCGCGGTGGGTTGGTTGCTGGGGGTGATGGCTGGGATGCTCTCTCCAGAAACCGCTGCGTGGTGCCTGGCCGACGTCTGTATGTCTCCACAGACGAGGCAGTAACTTGCCTTGCTGTCTTTTTTCTCTTGGTTCACACTGGCACAGCATCAGTAAAGGAAGGAGGAAAAAGAACCGCTGACTGTGTTCACGTCCTCTGTCTGAGTTTCTGATTTTTCACATGTGAGAGGATACACCGGTGGTGTGAGCACCGTGGGTGTTTTCTGTGAATGCTTGATTTCTCGGCTTTTCCCGATTTTTTTTATTTTTATTTGTTGGTAACGTCACTGTGTAGCTAAATTTCATGTCGCTGTGGTGCTACCCCTGTCTCCCAGTCCGCTTTTCAGGTTTGTGTATGTCACTGCCGGGAAAATCGCTTCCTGGGAATTACCTCCAGGACTGCGATGCTGACTAAGCCGTTTGCAACCGATCAGTTCATTTAAATGCCGACCACTGCTACGTTTGCTGCAGAGTAGGTGTCTATATGTGAAGCTTTTCGCATAAGAACGTTTCCCGTGTAGCAGGAGTTAGATGCTGAACTAAACCAGACCAGCCGTATAGCGCTGAGTAGCGCGCGGTGGAGCGGCACTGAGAGCTGCCAATGGCTGGAGGGGTTTGCCTTGCATGGAGGAACGTGGGTGGAAAAATACTCCTGGAGAGCAGTCGGGAAGAAACTACAGCAGCATTAATGCTGATGAAAATTTCCAGCTGGCTGCCTGTTTCTCCACTGAAACTAGCCACGGGGGGTTGGGACAGACCGGGAAGGTCAGCACTGCAACGCTGGGAAGCTGGTGTGTGCCTGGGTGAGCTCTGCTCACCCTCTGGGTACTGTAGATCCGCTGCAGAGGGGGAGAAGGCAGCAGTGCAAATACTTGGTGGACTTTTCATCCCATTCACTTTCAGAAAACTAATGGGCGAGCGATGAAGTGACGCACATGTGGAAGCGATACAGCGGTGGTACCGAGTGATCATTAGAAACACTAAGCTAACCTCGTGTTATTTGTGACCTGGGAGGGAGTCTCTTTCGCTTGTGATCTCCTTGAGGGAGTATTTTTTGGGGGAGGAAAAAGAGAGACCTGACAACTCTATCCTCACAGGCTGTGCTGGTTTTTGGCATAGATCTCAGCAATCGGGGGTAATTTACAGGTAGGAAAAGCCCTGGTTATTTGCTACCTTCTACAGCATGTGTGCTGTTGAGTTGTCATAAAAACAAACATACCTACCTGTGGTTTGATGTTTGTAGGGCCATATTCAATATTTTACAGCTGTGCCATTTGGTCTAATAAAAGATAGACTTTTCCCCGTAAGTTCCGACCCTCCTAAAGTGTATTTGTGTCTTATTTTCTAGCAGGGAGTGTACGTAGCAGCCCTCAGGGGATATGGAAGCACAACCCAACTGCCACCCTGTGCTATTCATACAAAATCCAGACTTGCTGCTAAAATGCAGCCGTAGCTGGAGTGGGGTATGGGGACTTCAGCATTCGTCACAACGCTGCTGTTAAAGACAGGAAGTAAAAAAAGGTGATTGCAGGAAAATAAGATTACTGGAAGAACTGAGGCAGGCTGAGTCCGTGGTCGGGCCGGAGGCGAACAGGCTGGCTCTGACGAACGGCTGCAAATGCCGAAGCTCTTGAACTGGGTGTTTTATCTGAGCGAGCGCACCTGCCGGTGCGGCGCGTGCCGCTGCCCCTTCGTGCGCCTGCTCCCGTGCCGATTCACAGCGAAGTATGCCATCTGCTGATCTCCCGGCACCGCGGCCCGCGGCGGCCCGCGTTCTCCGTCTCCCCCATGCAAGTACGGACCATGCCTGGCGCTCCACTCCCTGTGCAAAATTCCAACGGTCACATCCCCAGGGTAGCGTAACCGTGGTCAGCTGGTTGAAATGCTTCTGTGCCGATGTGTAACCCAGGTGTGAAAGCTGTAGGAGGGACCCCGCCGTTCACCCCACCCAAAGCGGCACCCACACCCGATCGTGACTGAGGCTGTAGTGCTCGGGGAAGAAATGTGTCTAAATGCATCTGGGCCTTGAAAACTGCGTGCAGAGCTGCTCTCATGGGGCTTTGGGGCTTGGATTTAACAATGTGTCCTCAAGGTTTTAATCAAAAAGAAAAATGCATTCTCCAGGATACGTATATTTGTGTATCCATATAGACTCGGAAAAGTCGCATTTCACAGTCTTCTGTGCTGGCTTTCTCATCCTCTGCCATGACACTCGGGCTATTTCGCTTTGTGTGGAAGGCAGGAGCGCTGGCGTGCTGGCCGTGAGGTACTGGTCCTTGCCAGGGAGAAACGTGAATGACTGGCTCTAGGTAGAGGGCTTGCTGAGCCGGGTAGATTAGGTGACCAGATTTAAAACATGGTAATCGTGTCAACAGGGTAGTCATGTAACATTGTGTTATGCTTAGTGCCAGCACATGTTGCAAGCTAGTTGTGATGGGGTTTCACCTACGGCGCAACATTTGGTGTTGGGTTTGAATGAGGTCCGCCTGTCCGCAGGATGCGTTGTTTCCTCTCCAGGAGATTGAAAAAGTGGAGAAAGGTGACTTCTTGACCTGTGGAAAATGCAGAGAGTGTCTTGTTTCATTTGGTGGAGGGAGAGGAGGGTATGCGCTATTTGGCTGTCTCCCTGAATTGTACTGAAAGATCCATCTGTATGTTACAGCTAATTAATTTGCATCCCAGTTATGCATCTCAGCAGATAAAGCTGATGCAGACTGAAATGAATTACATTATCACGATTAGACTACTAGCAAACAGGACATAGAAGAAAACAAATAAAAACTCTTTTTTTAAGTTTCTTTACAGTGCCCTTGACTGTCAAAGTTGGCCTTTGTCACCGAGTGCTGAGGCAGCTGGACTTTCTGAATTCCTCCACAGTAGGATTTTGGCGTCAAGCTTTCTGTTTCACAAGGGGTTAAGTGAATAAACAGTGCTGCTGCTGAAGTTTGAAGACAGCCTCTTAAATATTTAATGACAGTCTAAATATATACATATGTACAATGTGTTTTAAACAAAGGCAGAATTCATGTACAGGCTTAACTGGTTCCAAATAATTACTTTTTGGAAGGTAATATAAATGATTATGGGTACCGAAAGAAATGGAGGAATGCAATGTTCTAGTAAAGCCAGATGCAGAGAAGCGATTTGCACCAAAATGGAGATCTTTCTAGGAAAGTAAATACTGTCTGTGGTGTATCCCCTTGTCTCCAACAACCCTGCCCTTGGAAGTTGGAGAGAGTAGCAATGACGGTATTCAAAAACATAAGGTCTGATCAAAAGCTCATTCGAGGAGGTTTTTTGCTCATATCTGAACAGGATGGCTGAAGTTATTGATGGTAATGATACAAAAGGGGGAAAAAACAAATGATGAACCGGGTTGAGGAGAGTGGGATGGAGAAGGGGAAGTAAGCAAAACATGTATTTTTGGAGAAATGGGAACTTACGGTGAAGGACAACTGGTGTAGCAAGGTGTTCTTTATACACTTAAGTTTTTTGACTAGTCAGTGCTCAAAAAGCCTGCGTGATCAAGACTGATCTGAGAAAGGCAGGCAAAACACACAGGACCTCACAAGGTGGGACTAGTTCTGCAAGAGGAGGTTGCGGTTGAGGAGGAGCCTACGGAAGGAGCTGTGCACAGGTCTGCCTGGGGCTGCTGGGCGCTGGCAGAAGAGGGAGTGAGCGACAGCACGCCGCGGGCTTCTGCCTGTGAGACATCTCTGCAGGGCACGTGATAGCGTTGAGCAGGGTCGTGTGCGTGTAGTTTCATAGGTGAAAATAATCCAGCTGAACATTGTCATTGATCTCCAGTACCTGGTAGGTTTAACTGGTGAGCAGACTGCTAGTGGAACGTGTGCCAGTCACGGCTGAGCCTCCTACCCATGAAAATGCTGTCCTGAGCAAAGGTTACGGGCGTGCAATAGGCACAGAATGGGAAGAAGAGCAACTTTTAGTTTTGCTTCCCTCCCGCCAGGAATAAAATCCGCATATAAAAAAAGAAGTGGTAGAATTAGACACTGAGGGTGACTTTGCCACGCACAAGACCGGCACAAAAACGTGAGGTGAGGCTCAGGCGTGCCCGTCCAGCGTGTGATGATGATCTAGACGCTGCGTGCGCGTGCTTGTGCATGTTTTGAACAAAGGCGAAATTCCTGTATTTTCAGCATACTGAGCTTCAGCATGTTGTATTCAAATACAGATATAAATGCCACACTTAATCAGTTACTGGATTATTTGGGGATTATTTAAAAGCCTTCACAAGTCAGCTCCTTTGCAGCTATTTAGGACGGGGCTGAGAAATCACCCAGGTTCAGGGTGGCTGTTGTCTAGGACATCCGAACTGAGATGGGAACCAGTCCGGGCATCTTGTATATCACCAGGCTGCTCCGGGAGCTTGGATGAAACTCAAGAACTACTGAGAGAGCTTGGGCATTTTCCCAGAGTATCTTGGCTCCTGCAGAGACCTATCCCCACCAGACTGCTTTTTTTATTTTAATATTG